TCTATTATAAGCCAAATACCACTCACTCGCTGACTCACTCAGTCATCGGAAGACTATACAAAATGTACGAACATGAAATTTGGAATAGAGGTACCTACAATGATCTAAATTGTGCCATAAGAAAGGATTTCCTGATATTCGCATTTTAAAGAGGTGGTCAAACAGGGATCAACTTGAGATTCAAGGTGGAAAATGAATTTATTTTTTTTTCCTTATAAATGGTTATACTATTGGTTGCAGATCATAATAGTAATATTAGAAATTGGTATTGTTTTTTTCATATTTATATATATAGGTAATATATACATCAGTGGCGTAGCCTGTGCGTATGCTGTGTATGCACAGCATACACTTCACAAATTGAAAATTTTTTTTTTTTATATTAATAATTTAATATGTTTATAAAAAAATGTTTGATTGTAATTTGTATCAATTTAATATTTTATAATATTATAATATTTTGTATATTTTCTTCTAAGTTCATTAGGATTGATTCATCCGCAACACTACGGCCGCCTCGCGATTTTGTCCGTTATATTTATATCTAATAGTACATGACGTTCATTACGTACGCAGTATGCACGTTGGCGATTGCATACGGGTACAGACATTTTGGACAGCTATTTATATTTCTTATCGATAATCGGATAATATTAATAAACAAACATAGAATTCTGGCGGTCGTGTTTTCGTCACTCGTGTATGCAGGATCAGTATTGCATACGCTATCGCATAGAGCCGTTTGTCGTATATTCTGCCGGCTATAAGTGCGTATTATTAATCGTATATTATAATTTATAAGACATATCGTGTGACATATCGTTTTAAATTAAAACTATTTAAACTAAATAAACAATAATGAATACAAATAATACAATATGTGAGTGTGCAATTGAAAAATTATTTTTAAAGCCTTTCAGTTCACTCAATTTTGATGAAAAATATAATTGAGTTAGGAAGACCCACACCAAAATTATTATCCGATTTAACGACAAAATCAAAAAATTATGTTCGAACATTTAAATATGAGTATTACAGTACATATAAGTGGTTATCGGGTTGTAAAAAAACAAATAATCTATATTGTTGGCCTTGTGTTATTTTTTCTCGCGAAGAAAATGTTTGGACCAAATATGGTTTCAACGATCTTAATAATTTTCATCATTTAAAAAGTCGTCACGAAGCCGCTAAAAATCACATACAATGCTTAGTAGATTTAACTAAATTTGGTAAAATAAGAATAGATACTTGTTTGAGTGAAGCTTTTAGAAAAAATATCGAAAAACATAATATTACAGTTAAAAATAATAGATACATATTAAGCAGTATGATAGATTTAACGTGTTTTTTAGCTCAGCAGGAATTGGCATTTAGAGATTTGGCAAAAAAATCTATGTTTTATGATGAAGTAATCAAAGCTTTCCTTACTAAAAATAGAAGAATTGATTTAATATATAAGTAATTTTGTAGTTAATAAGTTTATTATTTTTAAAAAGTGATTTATTTTTTGTTTATTAAATAGGTATAATATTGTGCTATGTACTAAGGTTATATATATTAAAAATTACGTAAAACTTTGTATGTTTCAAGTTTTATTTTAAGATAAGTGTAGGGGGTGTGAAGGGCTATTCCCTCCACGATTTTATTAACTTACAACTTTAATGCATACACTAAGCTGAAAAGCACGCTACGCCACTGATATACATATTATATACATGGTTCATGGCTGCTATTGGTTACTCGGGCAGATCAGATACACTCAGTACAGGCATAAAATACATCAATTTGTTGCGATTATAGCCTGGTATAAAGAAACTATAATATCTTAAAACCAAATGTATGTGTGTAGCTTATACAATCAACGACTACTGAGTTTGACCGAAAACCATAGGAATTCGTTTTTTGATGTCTGAAAAGTTTAGAGGGTAAGTTAAGTTCAAACCGCGTTAAAAAATATATCAATTACTAATCCCATCCTCGAATTACGGTAGCTCATCTAGGTCGAATTAATTCACAAAGCTACGAACTGACGCCCAACTGTAGAGGTACACTAAAACTGAGATCCAATCAAATCTAGATGCACCCGTATAAATCCTATAGAGAGTATAATATATACTATACAGGATTGGTCACAAAAAAAAAAATTGCACTCGGAAGAATTTCAGCTAGTTTATATTATAAATAATTTTATAAATGTCTATAATATAGGTATAATGCGAGACACCGGGAGAGGCCCACCGCCGTCCTGCTTCTACCCCTGTAATCATAAAATATTTGATATATTATTATTATTAAGACGAGACCGCCGTGAGAACTGCAACCGAGTTTTTGGATTATCATTACGTTTTATTGCCACCGTGACGGTCCGACTAGTACTATTACTATATAATATAATATTATGTGCGGAAACGTACGAATTTGGTGTTTTCCTAAGTTACGTCACCGGAAACATCGACCAAAGTTCGACCTATACGTCATAATCGACGTCCTACGATTTGATTTTTTAAACAAAATTTACTCATCCGATTTTTATTAATAAATATTTATTTACTTAGGGTCCATTTGAATTTTAATTTGTATAATTTTTAAGCAGAGTTCACATTTTTATATATGAAATATTTTGGATTTTTTCTACATTCAAAACCCGTTTGACGTACAGAACTTTTTTTCAAAGAGTATTTTCTATTTCTATTATTATTATTATTATTATTTTTAAGCAAACGATTTTTTTTTTTTTTGAAAATGTTGATGTACCGATACGAATGATTGTTGAACGAGTAGTGGTCGAGTACTTATTATGTATAGGTTCTTTGGTCTGCTGAATATAATATTATAAAAAATGTACACGAGGGTTTAGGACTTATATGGTTATATCGGTAAAACATAATTTGAATAAAATAAACTCAACTCAATATAATATAAACCGATAAACATCTATTTTATTCGTTAGTACCTATAAGTGTATATTGTATAACCATAACTCATACTATAAGTTCTTAACCTATACCAGTTTGGCTGTTCATTATATTATAATAAAATATTCAATAGACTAATATTAGCCTCAGTACTCAGTAGGTACTCGTTCGAATTTGAATATGAATACATCAACATTTTTGAAAATAAAAACATGAAAAAGCAGATAGCATCACAGCAAGATAGTTTTGAAATTGTAGGAAAAATATTTGAAAATATGTTATAATGGCTGTAAACTTAAAAATTCTAAAAGCTAAAATTTGAATAAATACATAATTTCGTCATAAAAACGCAGGGCAATGATGGTAAAAAATTCATTTTGTGTCAGACTCATCGGTAACCTCATCATCGTCGTCTGGAATATAATTATAGGTACAGCGGCTCGTTTGGTATCGCGAAATTTCAAACGAATTTCCGTCGTCCGATCACTCGTTATTATTATTCTGTACATACCTATATTCGTGTCCGACAATATTTCCGATGGCGACTTTTATAAATATGACACTCTCCGCGCGCTGCAGAACAAATGGTTACCGGTTTGCCGACCAACAGGTTTATCGATTATGGACGACCGATTAATATTTAAGTAAACGGTTCGATTATATTATAATGCAGATACCTACGCCGGTGTATAATATTACTGGCAAAATTAGACGTCGGAGGTCGACGGGAATTAATTTTCAAAATTTCCGAAGAATTTCGACGACAACAAAATCGAACGGGTCCGGATTGTCAACATATATCTACTTGATATTCATTTTTTGTACAACGTCTTTCAATAATATTTAATTTTGGTGTCGATATTTACTATGAATTATAATATGATATTTTTGAATTTTTTATATACATATAGCAGATATGACATGTTGGCATGAAAATAAGTCTTTTAATTTTTTTTTTATTATTATTATTATTCACAAACGCAATAAAAAATGTTGAATCATTTGTATCATCATTGTGGCTATATTCAAATTTCAAAGAGATGAATATTATTAAACCTCTTATTAAAATATATATATTTTACTCTTTGAAAGTTTTTGCGAAATTCCACTTTAAACATTTTACTTCGATGGACCCAAAATTAATGTAGGTTATCATAAAAGAAAGTATATACGTTCAATGGATAGGTTTTATGGCCGATTTGTCAAAATAATGTTTGAACTTATGAGAGAGTTTCGGGATTGTTTATGTGTTAGTACTAAGTATACCTTTTAAATTATTAAAATATACTACACAAACCGTACTAAAATTGTGATGTATGTATTTTTCAATGAAAGCTGCATTAGGGTGATAACATTTTTATGGCCGCTCGAATGTCATAAATCGCGACTCTAAATAGTAAATGGTAAGAAAAAAAATATGTAATTAATACTCCGACAACCATAATGTGCAGCTAAAGATACGAAGATCGTTAAGTACTGTAACACTTAGGTATATATACATATATACCGTTGAGCAGTAGTTATTTTAACGGACACAAAATTATTCAAAAATACTTAGAATTAAAACTTTTTTTTTAAGTCGATAAAATGGCTGACAACTCAAACGTGGTTTTTGTACCGGACATGTATACATATACACAAATTGAACACGATTTTCTCGTTTTAGCAAGACCTAATTTCAGTACATAATCGTAAAAAATGTGCATTACTATACATAAACAATAATATATATGGTTCTACGACAATTGAGCGAAAGAAAAAGAGCGAACGTAAATGAGCGAATGAAAAAGAGCGAATACAAAATGAGCGAATAAAAATATGAGCGAATACATATAGAGTGAAAAAATATAATATTATAATATAATTAAAATAAATTATTTGCACATACATATAATTATAGAATTAATATATTTATACTTCATATTTGTCATTTATTTGTCATTTATACTCGCTAAAAAAAATAATATTATAATATAATTAAAATAAATTATTTGCACATACATATAATAAAATTATAATTAAAATAAATTATTTGCACATACATATAATTATAGAATTAATACATTTATATCTCATATTTGTCATTTATACTTGCAATGAAAAATTATACGCGATACCTTTTAAATATTGAATTGTCGGAATATTATAATAATCGTCAACAATATTTTTTAATTTTTCGGCAGAATCATTATATTTTTTTTTTTTATTGGACGAACGTATGCCACTATTAATTTGATGTAACTGCATATCTACTAAAGTCTGTTGATTTTGAAGGGCTTTTATGAACTTCCAAATTGTTGGATTACACGACCCTAATAGACAATTGAAGCCTCTATTCCAGCCTAAAACAATTAAATATAATTTATATAATATACATGATTGCAAGTTATTAACTAATTTCTGATTACCTTCAATAGAGTTATTTGTTTTTGGTAACCCATGTTTTGTCGCTTCATAACAATTCCACATCTGAATTGAAAATATTGAATTTCTTCTTCCCTGTCTTCGAGTTGGTCTGCCTATCCATGTATCTTCAAAATAGTCCACTATTGGTTGAAGAAAATCCTCATGTTCCTTGTAGTATTCAGTATCTAAAAGTTCCTCAAATGCTTTTTCTACGTCATTTATTGGAACAAACGCAAGTGCTGGTAGTAAGCGAATCTGAATAGAAAAATTTGGGTCATTGATGTATTTTTCCTGCATTGAAGTTATAGTCTGCAGTTTTCGCCAAATACACTGACTGAGATGAAAAAAGCAACCACGGTTTTCGATTTGTGGAAATACTTCTTTAAAAGCATTAATAGAGGCGTTTTCAAAATCAGTTAAAATAGATTTTGGGTTTAAACTATTTTTTATTTCTTTTAATTTTTTTAGTAAACGCACATAAGTAGATGATTTTTTATCGGGTAATAGTGCATATAAGGTTGGTATACATCTATCATGTTTTAATACGTGTATTGTATAGATTTGATTAAAAATAGGTGGAGCTGATTTGAAAGTACCATCAGAAAACCAGTGATCGGATTTCGACATCAGATCCAAACTATCAGATGTACAAAAAATTATAATTCGTTGGTTGGACAAACCATAGTCATCGACACTGTCATATAAAACAAATTGTTTACCATGAGTAGTCAATTTATATTCAATAGGCAATTGGTGTAAATCATCAAGAATTTGAGGATTAGGTGGAGCTAAGCAATTTCTTTGTCTCGTTCTTTGAATTGTACGTTTCAAGTATGCGATCTGTGGAAGTGCACAAAAAACAATTGGAACTACAGAAGATGACGACTCACTTATTATAACTGCAGGATTATCTTGAGTTTCAACGGCACGGTTTTTAATATTTTCGACTACTACTTTTGCTTGATTTTTAATTATATCGGCAACATGATTATGATCGGAAGGGCCTTTAATAATTTCTTCGTATTTTAAATTCAAACGCCCTGTACAAAGTTTGTCTATACATCGCCAATATTCGACATCTTTATGTATTTTTTCTTTCCGATATAAGTAACTATTTAACTGTATTAAAAGTTTTCCTTGTTGTGACTTAATATACTGCATTATTACACGTTAAAGACCACATTAATATAAGAACTCCGGCGGACGACTAAAATGACAAACTCAACATAAGTACGACGACAGTGACTCAGATAAGGCAAATGATCATAAACGTAATCTTATCGAATCGTTATCGCGGACTTTTCGAATCCTAAAATATTTCACTGTAGTTTCACATAGTTATAAATTATAATTTATATAAGTAAAGTAATATACTTAATATATTTAATCAATATTAGTACACAGTATTTAAAGCGAAAACGATTCTATATATTTTTTCGCTCTATATGTTTTCGCTCATATTTTTATTCGCTCATTTTGTATTCGCTCTTTTTCATTCGCTCATTTACGTTCGCTCTTTTTCTTTCGCTCAATTGTCGGGATACCAATATATATATAGTATATAACACGTTATCGTATCCTATTGTATACAATATCATATACACGAATTCCGTAGATACTTGTGTAGTGGCAATAATGTGCACTTATATATGTCGTCATTAGATACAACGATATAAGATGCTGGCCAAATAATATGTACCTATATCTATACATTACTTAGTGTGTGCATTTTGTATACGTGTGCGTGAGTATAGTTTGTTCAGAGAACAGTGGAAATTATTCTGGACACCTTCCAATTAATTTATCTATACGACCAAGTTTTGACGGGCGCCGAAGTAATAAGAGACACGTAGGTAACTACTTTAAATTACGACGAACTTGGTGCAGGAAAATGTATTAATACCAACGTATATGGGTAGGCACATAACAGGGGCGACACACACGACCGTTAACTACAGTAATAATATTATTATCGTACGGCTTAACGCGTCCGCTATATGTATTATATAACTTGACTCGCGCGACTGACTTGAATATTTTTCCGAAACCGATTTGAGAATTTAATATAACCTGCAGCACAGTATAATAGTTGTTAACTGTAATAATAATTGTTGGGTTTTGAATCGCTACATACGGGGCAGCTGCAGCTGATCTCGAAATCTATCTGCGATGGCAGGGTACGCGACCGAAAGTCACAAAGTTTCTTTTCGATACAAACACGCACTGCAATAGCTTTTGAAGTAGTTATAACTGGTCGTACACACACTCGTACGCACTCCTTCGTCCTTCCACACCTTCTCATGATGATGAAAATGACACGTACCGAACCCACCGACACGGCGACGGCGGCGGTGGTGTCCGGTTGAATGGGCGTGTGGTCGATGTGCGGCGCCTAAGTGTTATGTTTACGATTGCGTCTATCCGATACGAAACGTTTTCGCCGCGGAGTGGTGGACTGGGTGAGGATAGAAGACGGTGGCAGAGTGTAAATGAGAAACGATAGTGTGTGCGTGTAAATATCGACGGGGAAATTTCCGAAAACAGGGCCTCACGTACGCGATGAAAAGTTTGTCGATGAAGTTTGGCGAGAGAGAAAGAGCTGCACCGCCGCCACATAACGCGCTTTGATATATTATAAATTGGCGGCGAAACCCGTTGCTCGGGCCAACTCATAAATAATCCAAAGAGATACACAAATCAAACTTGTCCATCTCTCTCTATCTCTATCTCTCTCCCTCCCTCAGTCCCTCTAACACTATCTTCTTCTCTACCGGCCTCTATCTCTTTCTGGTGTTTCTCACTTCCACTGACTCACACTTATTACTCACAATCTGCACTTCAACCCTTTCCACTGTGTTCTTGACTCAACGAGCATTGCACCCTTTGCAATAACTGTCTTCGATTAACGCTATTTGCTGCTTCCGTTGTCTTCGAGTCTGCTAGATTTAAAAAAAAAAAGTCATTTATCTATATATTATTTTAAAAACACGGGGTGAAGAGGAGCTAATAAGTTTCAATTATTATCATTACTCATAGAGTCACTCGTCTATATGGACCAATTGGACCACATATAATAATATATATACGCTTGATGGTATATTAATAGTATTGCGTAATCGAAGTTTATACAGTAAACAGTATAAGGCAGACAAAAATATTTGCTACACTAGTCACCCGACGATATTTCATAAACTCAATTAATGGCATTTATATCATTGCCAAACCAATATCGAAGTAAAGAAAAGTTCGGATTTAAGTTTCTGCGATATTATTGTAGCATCACATCAGCTGAAGCACGCGTCTTCACATATTGACGTATTGCGACATGCAAGCTCGAGATTTTACTGTGTTTTGACAATTTTTTTATTTCCCCCAGTTTACATCTAGACAATTCCGAAGAATTCGCGTTAAAAGTAATATTACTGTGATATATTATTTTTATGTACCAAATAATAAACCGGAAGCATTGCATAGAATGAATTACAAAAGTAAATAAATATACTTGAATACAAACAATTATTTAAATCAACTCCAAGAAAGCTAGCTTTAAAATAACTTGGTTTGAGGCAATATTATACTAAAATACAAAATCCAAGGGAAATTGAGAAAGAAATAATACTAAATGTGCAACTTGTATACTGTCGTAGTTTAAAAACATTAATCATTGAGTAAAAAGAAAAGAAAAAAGTTTCAGCGTGCTCAATAATAACACCTTTAAATTAATAAAATATATTAAACTAAATTATATTTTAGTGACGATTGTAACTAAATTGGAAAAATGATTTTCCTTTATTTTAAAAGTGTCTTACCGTAATATATGAACCAGACCGAATAAAGTGAAACCTTTAATATATGTTAAAATATTTAGTTATTTATCTATATCGTACATATAACAAGTGAAAATATTTATAATATTATGATATCCTTCAAAACGGGTCGTCGACGGCTGTGAGGTCCGCGGAAAATTATTCGATGAAAACTTTACCATCCAATCGTCTACAGAAGTATACATACCCTTTGTGCTATCATTTTAGGATACAACAGGTGAGGCAATAACATAATATAGAGGATCCTCTCGATACCAAACTTTAGGTCTTCATTATTACCACCAAACTGCTTATGAAACAAACTGTGTTATAATATTATTATCAGTTTGCTCAGTCCGATAATAATTAATACAGTCTTGCCCGATAAACGATGTATAAAACAGTCGTTGTCGTCTAGGTAATAATAATATTTTAACGGTGGTAATATTATTATAATACTCATTACGGTTATGAGCTAATGTCTCATACACAGCATTCGTAGGTGTTGTATTATTTCAATGACAATAATCATACCCCGCGTGTGTATATTAATAAATAATAAGTTATATATTATAATATCTATATATTTATGAAGAAAAAACAGCCATAAGAATCGTGTAAAAATGTAAATACAAACTCTTTTTCGTGATATAATTTACAGCTCGTCCAGACTTGTTTATTAAAATATTATATCCGCCGCCGTTCAAGTAAAATATCGTGTTTAATGCATTTGTTTTTGGAATGTTGTGGGAAGCACATTGCACCAGTGTCCCCGGGGTGTATACAGACTGTGCATTACCAGAATATCGTATTACGCACGTTATTCTTATTGGCCGTCCCTCGAATAATATGACTTTGTCTTCGTGTTATCTCCAAAACGTTGTGTCCCATATATATATATATGTAAGGCCCGCAATATATATTATATTATAAATTTAAATTTGTATTATTGTTTTTCTCTTCAAAACGGAGCTCGTCGTGAATACCAATAACGTATAGTAGTAATTATTATTGTTCTCGTATAATTTGTATTGTTTTATCGCTTGGAAATATTATGCCCTGTTATGTAATTATTCAGAAATTGTACGGTTTGCAAGATGTATTTGTACATAGTGCGATTATAAGACATATTATTTTCATTGGTTTTATAGTGAAATTATTATTGTACGACTATTATAGAATCAATTTTATATTATAGTAAATCTATCACAAATATTAGAAATGTTGGTATTGTTATATTATGCATCACGAAATCCTACATTTTTTTTTTAATACCTTTTTATATGTCGGTGTATGGATTATGACATTACGTGGTAGCCATAGTATAAGAAATAATATAAAACGCACCACTATTCAGAAGCTATAAAAATCTCACAGTAGTAAAATTTACAAAGGGTGCAGGGTTGGCCTTGTTGAATATTTCAAGACGATTTTCATTTCCTATTTTATGGCGAAAACGTAAAACGTAAAATGCAAACTCAAATTATTTCATTATTTAATGTTCGATAAGTATATTTTATGTTAAAGTGGATAAAGATGAAAATCGAACATGTAAAATATTTTAATTACCATCGAAATCCTATGATAATAATCGAAAAATGAATTGAACCCGCCTAGGTATATAATAGCCATACTCAGTGGAGGATTTAAGTGAAGAGAGGTGCCTTGGAGCCGAATCATTTACCATTCCCACAGAATAAGTTAAATTTGTTTTTATCTCTGCAGAAGTTGTTTGTTATAAGTACCACGCAGCATAAAGGTGTACTTTCGTTATTCTTGTCCCTAAGCTGCATCGTTTATTGAAGTAAAGTTCAACAAATATAACAGTATACGCGGCACTGAAAGCCCACCTGAAAACCAAAAGCTTTCATCCTTAACTCTTGAAAAGTGTGTATAAGAAGCCTCTAGGTATCAATTGAGCATATCTTAAAATGGTCATATTTGGGACATACACATTATAGCCAGACTTGCCATCATAATAATTAATCTCTCATTTGTTGTTCTAAAAGTCTTTCAGGCCAACCAGAGTCCGCCACCCTAGACATCTTGTACCTGTGTAGTCCTCTTCTCTAAACAACCTAAGCCTCTGAAGATCGCGTTATAATTCCTCCGTCTGATGACCACCTCAATAGCCTTCGACCGCAACCTTTCAATAGCACATTTTAAACGTCTCTTCCGTGTTTTGGAGATTTGAGGCCCTCTCGGCCGGTTGGTCGAAAGGTCCTTGAAGAGAGGATGCAATGCAGAATGTCAGGGATATTGGCTAACTCCAGTGAATGGCCTAGGTGTGCGTTAGCCTCTCTCAGATCCAATACGGATGATAGCGATGCAGAGTGTGCTCAGCTGTGTCAGAGG